CCAAAATATCCCTTTATACGATTGTGCTAGCAACCAAAAGGATAAATCAAAGTAGAATATAATATGCACAAAGTTACCATTGTGCCTCAAGTCTTAGGATTAGTCATGTATTATTGTAACATGAAAATACTTATTCGACAAGACAAATCTTTCATTAAGTATTTTCATACGGTCATGTTCAGTGTACTTGTTCTCTAACGAGCACCCACATATATGTATTTGCGCCACACGCTAATGTTGATGGAATGCAACATTCTTGTCCAACAAGCATACATACTATGTGCAAGTTTTTATGGATTATTCGATATCCCATTTCGAAACATCCTTCGACTTGGAACTTTATTTAAAATCACAGTTTTCAAGGTATGTTCCATGATCACCATCTCTATGCGCAACCATACCTTATAACCGTAAGTGATTTAGGGATTTTATCTTGAGTGCGATTATAGGATAAAAGCTTACTCTTAAGATAAAGTAATGTCTTATTTACAATATAATTCCAATAGATAGTATTTACAAGTAGAATACGTCCAATCCGATTGGAACGCCGGGTATCCTACTCTAACATTTTTTTCCAACGATAAACTTCATATTAAAACTCAAGATAATAATTGTTCATACAGGCATAACCAACCGGTTATAAGTGCACCAGCCCATCCTAAGGTCGACTAACACACACGAATGAAAACATGTTTACACCCTCGAGTGGAACATACCACAATAATACAATTCAATACAACAAATATTAATGGTCAACAACAAATTCACATAAGGGAATAGCATCTAATAATGGTAAAATATCTCCACCATGGCTCGTATCCTCGCATGCTCCATTGTATACACTCTCCATCTTTCCCTTAGTATCTGGCCTGCCCACTACACACACCACATCTTCCCAAGCTTCCTCCACACAAGTCTTCAACAGCCATTTGGTCTTCCACCAGTCTGCAGCTTCATCTCTTTCTTGCGGTGGCATTGTCTCTTCGCATAGTTTCAGTACTCTACCATTCCTAGCTGCTCTCCCTTGAATCCATATTTCGTCTTCATTTGAGCTTAGAGCACTGACAGAACCACAAACATGCCCTACCCTGCAAGAAAACAGCTCTCCTGAAGATTGTTTCAACATCTGACATTTAGCCTCCTCATCATGCCTATGCACAGCCATAAATTCTCCCCAGTCATTTTTGGCTTTATCTACCACCTCCATTTCAGTATACCACTTCTTTTCAAACATCCATTCCCTTCTTTCTGAGATTGCAGCTTGTATAGTTATGAACCCATGTCAGCTTCTCCACATGAAATTCCTTATTTTGTTTTGAATAGGTAGCTTCCAACATCTGGTCCACATTCTCTTATCCATAGCTATTTGTTCACTAGTCTCTGTCTTACCACATCTATCCATTTGGATCTTAAGTAACAAAGCATAGCATGATTTCACTATCAATGTCCTTGATTTATGCCACTGCATTGTGTTTCTCTACTCAGTATTGTCCACTTGGGTCTGCAAAATGAGTCCTAAAATGAAAGGGTTAAAAGATTGATTGACAAGCTCCACATCCCAGACCCTCTCACTCTCATTCAATAGTCACTCACCCAAACTATTATACTCTTATCCCCCTCAAAAGAGCACTCAAGTTTTTCCCCTCTCAGCCCCTTCACCCAAGGAGAATCCCATACACTCACAGTCCTACCATCCCCTATCTTAAAAGGGGATTCTTAAGCATTCTCCATAATTGTTTGGCTAGTAAAAGGTTAGGATTCTTAACCTAATTAATAAAACCTCATTTATTTTCCCTCCAAAAGAAGTTACAAAATTTGTCATTCATATTTTGCATTTCACATTAATACATCATATTAAGTGTAATCATGTAAAAAAATTAATAGCATTAACTATTATTAATATAATAGCAAAAAAATAGCATTAACTACTATAATAATAATAATAATAATAATAATAATAATAATAATAATAATAATAATAATAATATCTTGAAACAATAAAATTGTTTATACTTATGTAATTTATATTTAGTGTGAAATATTATGAGTTGGTAATAGCATTAACTATTATATAATATAATAATAGAAAAAAATACATGAATACAATTGATAGGGTGTATTAATGTGAAAGGTAAAATATGAATGACAAATTTTGTAACTTTTTTTGGAGGGAAAATAAATGAGGTTTTATTAATTTGGTTTTATAAATACATGATTACACTTAATTAGGATTTATGAATAATATTATTATTATTATTATTATTATTTTAATTTTGTATTTCGTGAAACAATTTTCTTTAGAAACAATTAGTAAATAGTTTTAATAGTAAAATAAAAAAAACTTTAAAATCAAATAAGAATAGTAATAATAATAATAATTATAATTATAATAATAATAAAGTTTTTATGTAAATTATTTGACCACGATCCCTCCAAATTATAAAAATTACATTACCCACAATTTTTTTTAATCAATATAGTGATATGTACTCAAATAATTTATATAAATATTATTTATTTTTACTAATGATTAAATCTTGAAAATGTGGTATGTCCATTATCTAGAATTTTAATATTAAATTCACATATCTTGAAAATGTGATATGTTTATTATCTAGAATTTTAATATTAAATTCACATATCTTGAAAATGTGATATGTTTATCATCTATAATTTTAATATTAAATTCACACATATTACTTATAATATTTTATGTACATCTGTGCATGTGCACAAGATAATAACTAGTATATATAATTGCAGGCTATTTAATCAACGCACATCATAATTGTTTTCGTTCATTTTTTCAATTAATGTAATAGAAAACCGCTAATTTATATTAAGAAGTATTTTGAAACTATTTTATTGTATAATAGTTACTACTAATACTAATAAGTTATAAATTTACATTAAATTGTTTTATGAATGTTATATCGTTATAAAAAATTTTACTGTAAACTTTTTTCTTTAAGATATTTATGATACAATATATATTATATTTTTCATATTATGGCAATATTTGTTTATTGGTTCTATATTGCTCATTTATTAATAGTCAAAATTTAAAATGTGATCCACGTATTGCCTAATTTAAAATTGTAAATATTATATAAATATATACAATGTATAAATTTTTGTTTGCCTCTATGAATGTGTACGAAATCGAATACTAGTATCTATGGGTGTTCATGGTCCGATTTTAACCGAAAAAAAAAAAACTGTCAATCCGGACCGCGGATAGGTTAAATGGTCGGTTAAAAAAACTTTAAAAAATCCGGTGGTTAATTTTTTTAAAAATCCGGAATAACCGATCCGGTTAACAGATTACTTGCGGCAAACCGCCGGTTTAACCGGACCGAACCCGTAAATATTAAAAAACTATAACAAATATATATATATATATATATATATATATATATATATATATATACATTCAACATACTCTTTTGATTCCAATCCAAGTCCCCAACAAGAAGGATGTGACTGAAAAATGAATACTTTGCTCTTATTATTTCAGGTGTATAAACTGACTGAAAAATGAATGCTTGAATTGGTTCAGTTTGCATAATTTAATTTTCATCATTTTTGTATTTTTGTGTTTATGTGATGAAATGTCTATTTTATGCTTATGGGACGAATTGTGTATTTTTTTATTTTATTGTTGTTGTTTTTCTTAATTTTTAGGCCCAAATAATCTATTTTGGACCCAAAATTGAAAAATAAAAATTAAGCCCAAAATGAAAAAATAAAAATAAAAATTGAAGGCCCAAAACAAGGATTTTCGATTTAACCGGTTAACCGCCAAACCAACCGTCCCATGCGGTCCGGATTGTGGCTGGTTAAAAAATAAATCTGGTCCGATTATGAACAAGAAAAAAAATTAACCGTTAGGTCCTGTTTGATCATGGTTTGGGCAAAAATCGGATCAATTCAGACCGTGAACACCCCTATTAGTATCAATAAAAATATGATATTTTAAAACAGTGATTGAGTACCAGAAATTCTATAGTGCCACATGTGGCAACATATTATGGTGCCACAACATGATGTGGCACATTATGATTGGTGCTACAACTATCACACATCATGTTTTGGCACCAATCATAATGTGTCACATCATGTTGTGACACCATAACACATGCCACATGTGGCACCATAGAATTTCTGGATTGAGTACACTATCATGTTAATAATCTTTTTATCTAAAATATAGAGAATAAGTAATAGTTATTTAAATACAAAATTATGTGACGAAAATAGTAAAATAATGGTTAAAATTACAAATATAGAGTTGATGAATAATAGAAATTTTAGACAAACATTAAATAATTAATTTAAAAATCAAAATAAAAAATGTGAGTGGAGTGGAGTGGAGTGATTAAAATGACTAATTATTTTATTGTATTATATATATAATATTTTTTATATGAATGAATGAATAATATTTTTGTTGGTGTTATATAACAATAATTTTTCTTAATTGCGCTTAGATTTTTAGTGAAAAGAGATATAAAATAAATAATATTTTTTCATACATAAAAAAACTATATATTTTATTTTCAGTGTAAATAAAATGAACATTAAATGTTAACCCAAAAAAAAATAAAAAAACATTGTATTCAATCAGAACTTAAAACCACTAAAAACTAAAAAAGGCTAAAATCATGGAGATCATATTAGAATGGATAAAAAAATGCAAAATAAACCACTAAAAAGGCTAAAATTTTGGAGATCATATAACAATGGATAAAGAAATGCAGATTAAGAGTTAATCACTCCTTAATCCCACACATTTGGTGAATACCCAAAAAAGCCCTTTTCACTTTGTTAAATTGTGTAACCTAATCGTCTATCTATATGACGAATCAATTGAGGATAATATGGTAATTTCGTTCAGAACGCCCCTGAGACCACTCCACACTATTCTCTACTGCCCATAACTCCCCCACCATAGACCTCTTCACAGTCTATCACTCTCCCAAGATCGGAAAACCAAAAAAATGGCCTCCGCCGGTAAGAAGTCCAACGTGATCGGCCAAATCGTGCGGCTCAGGCGGGTCGTGCGCCGCTGGAAGGACAAGAGCCTCCGGCGCGGCGGTTCCTCCTCCTCGTCGGACACCGACGACTGCGAGCCGCGGTCCCCGCGGCGAAGGACCCCGGCAGGATCGGTAGCCGTCTACGCCGGGCAGGATAGACGCCGCTTCGTGGTCCCGACTCGGTTCCTCAACCTCCCGGTATTCGCCGCCCTCCTCGACCAGGCGGAGGAGGAGTTCGGTTACCAGCCCGCCGGTGGCCTGGCCCTGCCGTGCGCGGCCGGATTCCTCTCCGGCGTCATCCGGCTGCTCGAGCTGGACGAGGAGAGGTTCTGCGGGCTGGGCCTGGACGAGTTCGTGAGGATGGTTTCTGGGGCGGATTTGGATTTGGATTTGGGTTTGGATTCGGATTTGGGTTCGGCGCCGGCGTTCGTTCCGTTGCTGCGCGGTGCTAGGGTTTGAGGCCCCATTGACAACGGCGGTTAGTTTTCGATTTGGGCCTTGTTTAGGGATTTGGGCAAACAATGTTGGCCCAGTAAGTACTAGCTAGCTAAGCCCATTTATCTAGAATTAGTTTTTTTTTACTTTATTTTTGGTAATTTTTCATATGGGAGCCATCCTTGAGACCAGAAGCTTTTTAATGGTGGCTCAATGAGATGTTTGGTTTTCGGCTTTTTTAATTTTTTATTTTTGTGTCCCTCTGAAAATACCCTATTTTTATTATTGGGTGCTGTTTAGGGGGATATACCAATTGACATAGGATGATGATCATTTTCATTTCAACAATTGGATATTTTGTTGCATTGTAATGAAAAATTTCATTCAAATGTTTGTTGTTGGTGTCTGGCTTTTTTTCATTTTTATTCATCTCTAATTTGGTTGTGGTGTGTTTATGAAGGCAATTTTATTCAACTGATTAATTGCAGGGACATTGAACTTTGAAGTTCTATTATTGAATTGATTATGTATAGTGTCAGCTGTTTTATTAAAAATTATTGTTTCATTCGCGTGATTAGGGCTGCAAACGAATCGAGCGGCTTTGAGCGCTCGAATCAAAGCTCGACTCGAACTTGAGTTTGATCGAACTCGAGTCGAGTTCGAGTCCATATTTTGCCTTATCGAGCGGCTCGATACGCGTTAAATTTCTAAAATACTCCTTATTATATATATTAGCATGTATTCTTAATGATAATTTTACTTTTCCACTTAAAAATTTTCGAGCCAAACTCGAGCCGAGCTCGAGCATTTTGATTTCGAGTCGAGCTATTGTAATTTTTTATCAAGTCGAGCTCGAGCCTCAAAAATCGAGCTCGAGCAGCTAACAAAAAAAAATTCAATCCTGCTCGATAAGGCCAATGCTCGACTTGGCTCGGCTCGCTCTAGGCATGATTGACACATGTATATTATAGATACATAAGAGTGAAATATCAATTAAAATGTCAATTCCATGTATTGTAATTAGGGTGTTCTTTCAATCCGGCGGAGCAGCTCATGTTTGAAAGCTTGTTCAAAAAATGATAGAAGGCTTGGCTGAGACCTTGGTTTTAAAATTCGTCAAAGATTGCGCCAGAGTTGTTTAATGAACTTAAAATCTAATCACGGACACGAATTGTGGTTAGTTAAGAAGTTGACTCAACTGTTCTATTTTAAAATCATAAAAAAATAAAATAAGAAATAAACAAGTTGTTTGTAAATAGGTACTTTTTTTTTTTTTTCCAACACCAAACAAGCAATATATTAAAACTCAAATGATAAGTTCATACATCGATTACCCAAATGGATACAAGCAATGCAGCACCCCCATACAAATGAGATTACTACAAGCTACGAGAAACCCAACTTAGGCTCTCTGAAAGGCTTCTATAGCCAAAGACAAAGAAAAAGAACAAACAAACTTATCACAAAAGAACTTACAACTATCCAATCTCTCAGCCATTAGATTAATATCAGTTACAAGGATTCTTACTCCCCAATCTGCCTCAGTCTGCTTGTTAATAAGCTGGGCAATAGACACTGAATCCACCCTGCAGCATAGTGAAGTAATTGTCCCTGTTTGTTGAATTTTATGTAGCATCCATCTAACAGCCCTAAGAGTAGCTTCCTCAGAAGATTGAGCTTTCTCACATCAATTATTCCACTTGAACAGGATTTGCCCATCCCTTTCCCCCACAGCACCAAACCCCACAAAACCATTTGGAAACAAGCAAGCACTGACAGAAATCAAACTCTGTCCTACTCCACTTCCATTAGCTTGTGGAGCCTTAAGATCAGCTGCCAAACTGTTGCTTTTATCAATGCTAATACCATTTTTTGAAGATGTTAGCTCAAATTCAGTCCATTCCCTCCAAGCACCATCCACTATGTCTCTTTCAGTAACTTTGGATTTAGAAAACAGCCAAGAGTTTCTAGTCCTCCACAACCACCACAGCAGGTAGGTTGAGAGGCTCATTCTGTCTTGCATATAATTATCTGCTGAACCAGAACACAAATCATACCACCAATCTTGAAAAGATAGTCTGTCCATATCAAAATGAATCCAATGCAACCCACTCAGTTTCCAACAGTTCACAGCTCTCTGACATTTGAATAAAATATGCTCCAAGTCTTCATTTTCTTCTCCACAGATACAACATATACTGTCCACATTCACCCTTTTTTTCAGCAACTGTGCATTAGTGTTTAGAAATCCATACCAGCATCTCCAAAGGAAGTTTTTAACTTTAGGTTTCACCTTGAGCTTCCATGTTCTGGCCCACATTTTCTGCATTTTTTTGTCATCTGATGAGGAAGGTGCAACCATCTGGTTGTTGTGATGATGCTGAAGCAGGATCTTGTATACTTCCTTCACAACAAACATTCCTTTAGGATTCCAATGCCACACCAGCCTGTCATGGGCACCTGCACTACTAATGGGGATAGGAAGAATATGTGCAGCCTCCTCAGGAGAGAAAGTTTGTTGAACCAGCTCCACATCCCATTCACATTTGTTATGCACAAATAAGTCACTCACTTTTTTTATTCTCACTCTGTCTGTGGGAAAATGAAGAGTAGGGGAAAAATGATTTGGATGAGGAATCCAAGGGGAGTCCCACACATCAATGGAGCCTCCATTACCAACCTGATATCTAATTCCCAACTTCAAAGAAGGTCTGGCTTGAAGCTAGCTCTTCCAAAGCCAGGAATCCCCCCCCTTAGGCTTTACATCAAAGATTTTCTGATTATAGAAATATTTGCCCTTAAGGACCCTACTCACCAAAAGATTGGGTTTAGTAATGATTTTCCATAACTGTTTAGTTATAAGAGTGTCATTAAAAACCTGAAAATTTCTAAATCCCATCCCTCCCCTATCCTTAGGCTTAGATAACAAATCCCACCCACACCAATGGGCCCTATTGCCCCCAGTCTCAGAAGTGCCGACCAAAAATTGGATATCACCCTACAAAGATGTTGATAAACAGATATAGGGAGTCTAAAGCAAGACATGACATAAGTAGGCAGGGCTCTTAAAATAGATCTCACAAGAGTTTCCCTCCCAGCCTCACTTAAAAAGCAGTTTTTCCACCCCTGCACCCTGTTAACAACATAATCAATGACAAATTGGAATGTTTCTTTTTTAGATTTCCCAATGCCTAAAGGCAACCCCAGATACTTGGAAGTATTCACTCTAGAAATCCCATTCAAGACACCACAGATATCATTTTGAAGACCCACAGAGGCATGCTTAGAAAAGAAAATGGAAGATTTATCAATATTAACAAATTGGCCAGAAGCCTCACCATAATCTCTAAGAATTTGAAGAATAGTATGAGCATGATGAAGGTCAGCTTTACAAAACACAATAGAATCATCAGCAAAGAATAAGTGGGAAATTACTGGAGCATATTTACCAATTTTCACACCAAAGAAGGTTTTGAGACTACAAGCTTGCTTGATCAAGTTGGAAAAAGCTTCAGAAATCAAAACAAAGAGATAGGGAGACAGTGGGTCTCCCTGTCTTAACCCCCTAGTAGGAACAACAAACCCCATGATTGAACCTTGCACATTGAAAGAAAAAGAAGAAGAGCAAACACAAGCAAGAATCCAAGAAATAAACACATCACAGAACCCCATCTTTTTTAGCATTCTAGCAAGAAAGTTCCATTCAACTCTGTCATAGGCTTTTGCCATATCAAGTTTAATTGCCATATAATTTTCTTTGCCAGATCTTTTACCATTAAGAAAATGAATACACTCATTAGCAATAACTACATTATCTATAATCTGCCTCCCTGGAATGAAAGCAGATTGGGATTGGGATATGCAGCAGTGCAAGACAGACTTGAGTTTATTGGCAAGAATTTTAGCAATAAGTCTATAAACAACAGTGCATAAACTGATTGGTCTGTGATCAGAAACAAATTGGGGGTTTTTCTTTTTGGGAATAAGGGTTAGCACAGTATGGTTCATGTTTCTGGGCATTTTCCCATTTTGAAAGAAGTTTCTCACAGCAAGGCAAATTTCATTTTTAATAGAAGGCCAAGAATTTTGGAAAAAAGCAGGGGACATACCATCATAACCTGGAGCTTTATGTTGATCCATTTCCCATAGGGCAGTCTTAATCTCATCCTCCAAAACCTCTCTGATTAAAGATCTATTCATCTCATCAGAAATAGATATAGGAATCCCATCCAAATTACATTTATCAACCAGAGGATTAGAGGTTTTAAATAAACTGTCAAAATATCTATGCAATTCACCCACAGTTTCAAGATTATTAACACATCTACTCCCATCACTTTTAACTAAGTTCTGCAAGCTATTACTAGTTCTTCTCTGCTTAACACTAGCTTGGAAGAACTTAGTATTTCTATCCCCTTCCTTAAGCCAACTAACTCTAGATTTTTGCCTCCAAAATTCCTCTTCAAGAGAGTAAGCTTCATTTAATCTATCTCTAAAGAAAGACCATTCATCCCAGTCCCTATGCCCTCCCAACATCTCCAGTCTAGTCAGGTTCTCCTTACAGTGGTTAATGATCTTCACAGCATTAGAACCCTTACTCCCCTTCCAGTTCATCAGAGCTTTTTTCACATTTTTAATTCTCCCCCCCAAACTATATAAAGCTGGCCCCTCAACTGGGATTTTCCAAGCAGATTTAACAATTTCAGGAAAGCCTTCATATTTAACCCATCTGGAATAAAAAAAGAATCTTTTTTTTTTGAGGGATTCATTAAAGTAATCAGACTCCAAAACAATCATATTGTGATCAGAGGATGTCATAGAAATATGCCTAACCCTAGAGTTAGGGTGATCAATAAGCCATTGTGGAGAGACAAAGAATCTGTCCAATTTCACTTCAATAAACTCATCACCCTTTCTAAGGTTAGACCAGGTAAATTTATGGCCATGAACCTCAGGTTCCACCCCACCAAGACACCTCACAAACTCTCTGAACCATCTAAAACTAGACTCATCCCTAATAGCACCTCCCTGCTTCTCATGGTTAAACAGGATTTCATTCAAATCCCCTCCCAAAAACCAAGAATCAAACCATCTTAGGCTATGCCTAAGGAGAGAATTCCACTGCCCATGTCTAATTGCATCATTAGAATCAGCATTAACAAAAATACCCCACTGACTCCTCTCAGCCCCTTCAAAATTGAAGTGGACTTCAAACCCAAAATCAAAAGAGAGAAGTTCAATGATATCCACCTTACTAGACCAGCAAAGGAATAAGCCTCCACTGGTCCCAATCGGTTTAGAATAATACCATCTATCACCTAACTTAAGCTTCCTACAAACAGTCATAACAAATTTTTCTTTTTTTTAACTTCAGATAAAAAAACAAAATCTGGGGAGTGAACCCTTAAGGATTCTTTGAACTGGGAGATTGTAGAGGGTCCCCCCAAACCTCTACAATTCCACACACATACCTTCATTGGACACCATGGGACCAGTTATGGCTGGTTGCCTCCACCATAGAGTTAGAAACTTCCTTAGAAAGTTTTTGTTTTTTAACAACTTGATCATTGCTAGTACCCTCCTGATTAGACATGCCTTCTCTAATTTGCAAACTTCTTTTAATTTTTGGATTAAAAACAGGGGCAGTCTTATCAGTTATCCCATCAAGATCAACAGCCATGGTTTCCAACACGGGTTCCTTAGGGGTTTTGACATTTTTTTATAAGATTTTTTTTTCCTCTGCATCACCCTGGCTCCAATAGAACCAGTTTGGATATTTATATCCACTAAGTTAGAAGGTACCAGATTAGTATCTTCAGGAATGGAATCTAGAATTCCATTGGGTTGGGCAGCTGGGGCTTCTGCAGAGCCCTTACTGCTTTTAACCAAAGAACTCCCCACCTTGTTCATCAGTGGAACATGCAGAGTTCCAACTTGGACCAAGGCTAAAGGATTCTCAAGACTTCTATCCCCAATCTCATCTTCTTCAGGACTACTAGCAACATTTTTACCAGAACTCTTGTCAAGAGGTCTGCTATCAGAAGAAGGAGAACTGTGGGATTTAAACAATCCTAAGTTAAGAGGGCTAACTCTCAACCACTCTCCAAACTGCCCTAGGGTAAGGGTACTTCTTAAGACATCCTCTTTTTTAGAATCACAATTTTTATCATTGTGACCTAATCTACCACAATAAAAGCAAAAGCTTTGGAGACTTTCATACCTGAAATCCACCCATTTAGATTCATTTCCTAATTTGATTTTGCAGCCTCTTAGAATGGGGTCCTTCAGCTTGAGTTCTACTTGCACTTTAAAGATATGACCATGATAGCAGTTGGGCCCCGGAATCTGAACATCCAAAGGTTTGCCTAACATTTTACCCATCTTTAGGCCTGTATCAGCACTCATCCAATGCAGGGGCATGTTATGAATCTGGACCCAAATCTTGATCACTTCATCTTCAGCCGTGAAATTGAGCTTATCTGGGTGCCATTGCTTGAGAAGAATATATTGGCCATCAAAACTCCAGGTTTTACCCTGAAGAATTTTATCTCTGTCTTCTTCACATTGGAACAGAAACTGGAATAAGTTGTCGCCCAGGCTTTTGATGGAAAACGGTTGCTTAGTAACCCAGATTGCTCCCAAAGTCGCTTTCAGGCCTTGAAAATTTACATTTTTCTCCCCATAAACCTTTCCCATAAGGCTGAGAACACATTCTTGGAGTGATGGAGCTATCCCTTCCTCTGATATAACAATTCCTTCTTCCTCTTTTTCTGACAGAGCAAATCTGCGGAGTTTATCAGCTAAATCATTCTCCATACTGCCCCCGACTAAAAACCCCCTCACCACTCCAGGAAACCCCCAACACAGAAACCCTAACCCTATAAAACTACCCTCCTAATAGATCAATCAACGCAGCTCCAGGGACGAGGTAATACAATCAGTAAAAAGGCTACGAAAAAGGGCAATGAAATTCATTAAGAAACAGCAAAAGATCTGGCAAATTCATACATAGCGATTAACCCTAATACAACTACATACCATAACAGCGAAAAATAGAATAAACAACAGAAGCCCAGAACCACATAGACACAGAAAAAAGCAGAACGAGAATCAAGATCGGAATCTAGCAAGGAGATAGACAAGAAAATCGGAGATTAACGAGCAAAATCCAACTAGTGGAACGGGACTCTAGAAAGAGAAAAACTTCCAAGAAGGAAACTTCCACCACCTCTACCTTCAATAATATCAATTTTAGGCGCGTATGGCTATGGGTATGGCTAAAACTTGTTGAATTACAATTTTATCTCTGCTGAATGCATTTCGCCCAATTCCCGAAACATACCCTCCCATTTTTTTTTCCCAACTTTCTACGCGGGCCACATCTCACCGGCGAGACTTGTTAAACAAATTGATTTTTTTTATTCGATTTGATATTCGTGAGTTCGAATCGAATACGAATAATGTTTTACATTCGAAAGTTAAACGAATTCGAATTCAAATATGTAGCTATTCGATTTCGGAATTATCAAATATTCGATTCGTTAAGATAATTATATAAATTTTATAAATTATATATAGTATAAATTTGTTTATATATATATGGTTATATTTCTAATACTTTTATGACATAAAAATAAAAATCATCCCAAGTTAACAATTTGCCTAAAAACATCTGAAAATGATCATAAACAATATTTTTGTAATTATAACTTTTTTTTAATTATAACATTTTTCTGAAAACAATTTTTGAATGGAATCAAATATGTTTGAGAATTGTAATCGAATACGAATAAAAAATTATTTCGTTTACAAATCGAATTCGTACCTCGAATATTTTAACGCATTCGAACTGAATATCTTAGTATTCGCGTGGGTGTGGTGCGGTTTGGCCGGGTCAAGTCTGTGGTTTTCCGGGGGAGGTTGTGTTGGGCCATGGGTCGTGTGACTTTTCCTCGATGGATCTCGTTAGTTGTTTGTTTCGAGTTGTGGAGGTGCTGGGTGTTCCTGATCTGAGGGGAGGGCTTTAGAGTATCTTAGATGTTGATTGTGTTTAGATTTATGAGTTTGTGTTGTTTTATCAGTGTTTCTTTTCTCTCATTTGGGAGTTAGCATTCTCCACTAGTGGGAGAGTCATCAGTTCGAGTCTGATTATCCTTAAACCCAATGCGAGTTTTTTTACTTTGATTTTCTCCCCCTGCCCAATGAGAATTGATAAGAGGCTTGTGGTGTTTGCCTGAGGGGCAGGGATGGCTAGGTTTCTAGGGGCGAATTCTGGGAGAATATGAAGCGCATGGATCCAAGTTATGCCTTCGAATAAAAGACAATTCTGAATCTGCTTTGTCTACGAACAAAAAAGCTTTAAGTAATGCAACTATGAATCTCATGAAGAGTTCGATCCTGGCTCAGGTTGAACGCATGCAGCATGATTAACACATGCAAGTCGGACAAGAATTGGTGTTTCCAGTGGGTAGTATTGCTAGTTGTTTGGTCTTGTTTAATCTTACAGTCGTCTCGATTTGTAGGCCTCTCTCTTTTCAGCCCTTGATTATTTCATTCGGCAAGTTGGCCACTTGTAAATTTGTGTTTTATTAATATCTTATATCGTTAAATAAAAAAATTCAATCAAGCTATATATTAATTCTAATTTTACAATAAAACCTATCAAATTGGAACCTAAACGATATTCAACTATTAATTTCGTTTATGAAAAATCAAATTTATAAATTCAAAGCCAAAATATAAAATATTCATTTAAAAGAGTAGAGGGAATTCCTTGACAGTTTGTGTCAAGAGGTTTGTAGATGCCTTGTGTTTTATTAGGAGTTGGTGCTAAGATCTTTGATCGGTGGTGTCATATCTTTTTGTAGTATCTGTATTTAGTGTGCAGGAGAGCGAAGGCTCAGCTCATGTTTTCTGGTTTTCTTTCTTTTAGTATATTCGATTTTTTATTATTTAGGCCACATGTGTGTGGTTCTCCCATTTTCGGCTTTATCCGGGCTGTTGATAGCCGAGTTAGCCGAACAAAAAATGAAAAGGAATGGCCTCAAAATCCTGACCGGATTCCCAGATAATTTTGGAGGTGCTGAGCTGAATTCGGAACTAAAATGATCACATCCGCCGCGTGACGTCATTCCTGAGGTCGACGCCCACACCGTTCGAATGACAATGCTGACCTCATTAGGTACTGAGGTGAGGGAGAAGATAATGTGCTCGGGAGCCGACCTGGAAATCTAGTGCGGCCACCCCGGAGACGAGCGCGGAGCTTGATAATAATATAATACTGCCACTTGGAGGATGATCATTGACGATTAGACAAGTTGTCATAGCCTGTCACCCTACAGCATCTAGCCCAACCAATAAGCTTGCCAGCATTAAATGCCCACCATGTGTGCATTAAATGCCTGGCAGACAAGTATTAAGAAAACTTCAAATCGCATTAAATAACTGGCAAAGCGGCACCGGCCTGCCCTGTAACAACACTGTGCGATAAGACCGGTGAACAATACTCTGTAATAAATTTATGTAATAACTCTCAAGTACAAGAGAAGTTCCGACCTCATGCACAGAGGCCAACCTCGTAATTACTTAATAAAACTCAATTAAACCATATCTTTTTCTCGATTTCTATTCTTCACTTTCATTATATCATACTTTAACCATTGATCGGATCCATCCACCAACAGTTTGGCGCTAGAGAAAGGGCTTAAACCTTCGACCTTGTGGTTAACAGCCACATCAAGTTCACCTTTTTTTTCTCACTTTTCTACTTCAAAAAACTAATCGAAAATGACTTCATTCGGTGACGAGTCAAACCACTAGTTCGAAGCTCAGCCTCGCCGGCGCAATGGCGAGGAAACCTCACACCATGCTCAACAAAGGGCTCAAGCTCCTGTCCCACCAGTCTTGACTTTCGCTGCTGCAATGCAGCATTCCGACATCCTCAAATTCCTTGAGGGGCTTTCGCCAAGGCCTTGGCCAGTCACGCGGCCGGGGGAAACACCGTTGCACTCAAAACCCCAGACAAGCAGGCTGGGGGAAACAGGAGGAGGCT